AGAATCAATTTATGGGTGGATAATTGGAGGGGTACTACCTACTTAAAGCCTCAATTCGCAAGACTATTCTATTTATCCTTGGAAAAAGACTTTACTTTGAGTATGCAATTGACAAAAGAACTCAGAATTCTTGGTCATTTAATTTTAAAAGAGCATTGTTGGCATGAGAGGAAGAAGAAGAGCACAAAATGATAATAGAACTTCGTGAGGGCCCTATTCTAAGGATGGCTACTAGGGACTACATCAGTTGGGTGGCTGACTCTTCAGGTGGCTTCAAAGTATGCTCTGCTTATAAATGGTGTGAGGAGTCTTTGTACCCTGGTGATATTATACTAGACATGATCTGAAACAACTCTTCTCCACTTAAAGCACGATTTTTTTTTTGGCTTGCTTGGAAAGGTAAGTTAAAGACAATTGAGCATTTGCATAGAATTGGTATTCTAAGTGATGAAGTGAATCTTGAATGTGTTTTTTGCCACTCTGAGATTGAGTCAATGGATCATGTGATGGTGCTTTGCCCCTTTGTATGGAGAATCTGGTCAAAAATTATAAATTGGTAGGGTATGCAATGGGTAACCCCTAGATCAGTGACTAGTTTGCTACTTTTGGTGGAGTGGCTGGAGATTCAGAAAGGGAGAAAGATTTGGAGAACTATCCCTACCCTATGGTCTGTGGAAGTATAGAAAAGACTACTTATTTTATAGGATGCAACCAGACCATGAGGAACTCTGTGAACTCATATTAACCAGGGTAGGCCTTTGGCTGAAATCACATTCAATTGGGAGGTTTACTATAAAAGATTTTGTGAATCAGATTCATCAAGTCAGGAGTAGTATTGGCCTTCAAAGATAAGAGGATGGAGTGGTTGTGCTGTTGGTATTTTTCCCGATAATAGAACACAAAATTATATAAAATAAAATAGTGAAGATAAAACAATCTTATTTTTAATTTTTAAAGAAAACACAAGACTAGAAAATGGATTACAACATTAGAACATATAATAAGATAGATTCACATGGACACACAAAAATAATATACAAGAAATAGATTATATCTAAAAGTTTGAAAAACAAAAGATAAATGATACAAACCAAAGCCTATGGTATACACAATTTTTTTAAAATAGCTTCACCGCCTCGCCAATGGATGCTGGAGGAAGGCCGGCGTCTATTTCCCATGATACGACAATCAAAATCAGCTAATGCAGAAGCACTTTCTGAATAGTTTTGGCGAACTTGACAATGGCAACACTCTCTCATTAACAAGAATCAAAGAAAGGGCTAACAAAAGGAGATAACAAAAGTTTCTTTGAATTTTTTCTTTGATGTAAGAAACATCTCCAACTTCATCTCAATAATCACCATTTTCCATCTCAAAAAACCTTCTTAAAAACAACTTACTAAGTTGGAGGGTAAATGCCTCTATTTATAAAGTAGGGGAGTCCCTAACTATGAAGGCTATCATCATGAGGGTCATCAAATGCCATTAACCAAGACCATCAATTCTAGTTATTAGGGCTAGAATTACAAAGGTTGAAAACTCATGGCCACTAATATGCTCATTAACTCCATCATCAAGAGATGAGAGTTACAATAGTCTAAACCTCACATGTGCTTAATATATACAAATAAATATGTATATAATGATATTTGAATAATTCAAATAGATAGATTGCAAAATGGATACGAATGTTGAGTCACAATTCGACCCAAGCCTAATCTCAAACACATGCACAAGCTAAATCCAACACAGCACAGCTCAGTCCAAGTTCAAGACTAAGTCCAAGTCCAAATCCAAGTCCAAGTTCAAGTAAACCCAGCACATGCATAAGCACAAGCCTAGGCCCAGTCCAAACCAAGACTAAATCTAAATATAAACCTAACTTTTATTGATGGCCACTTTATGAGACAATTCTCATTCACAACCTAATGGTTTCAACTCATTATTTTCATATTGTAATTTTCTCACTTAAGAGAATACAAATCCACTCAGTCCCATTTCAACCGGCGATTGAGTCACACTTTAATCTCGAATTAAAATTGCTGAAAAATTATTATTTTCTAACAGTTGCTGCTGTCTGATGGTTTGGAGTGTGGTGGTTATCAATGTGGATTGTAGATGCAGGAGTGGCAGTACCACTGATCTGGAAAGCAGCTGTTTGGTGGCATCAATCTGTTTGTTGTCTTATTGTTTTTGTTTTTCTTCTTTTAAGTTTGGTTCCTCACCAACTTTAGAGTGTATGCTAACAAATAATTGGGTATGTTTTTCGATGTCAATTTAGTTGGAATAGTATAAATTATACTGTGATTTTCTTTGCATTTCCCTTGCCTTTATTGACATAATCATCGTATGTGTGTATATTTATTCTGTAAATAAAGCTTCTTTTCTTTTGCCGATCTTAAAAATAAAAATAAAAAGTAAGAAAAGAAAATAGGAAAAATTAAAATAAAAGCACGGAAGAATGAGACAAATTCTATGCCCACTTGGCAAGTAGTTTTCTGTCACTCTCAATAACTCTCTTTAAAAAAATTCTATTTACGACACAACATATTAAGAGAGGCTAATTCTATAGTATACACCTTTCAAAAGTGTCTACCCCACATCCTAATTATGAAAGTCTTCTTTTTTTTAATTATGAATCATGTGTGAGGCTTTGATTAATTTTGTAAGAGGCAAAATTTAATTGAGGATTATTTTGTGTGGTTACCTTCTGTCATATGAAAATAAATACATAATTTTCTGTGTGGTTTATATACTAAAGTACACTATTAAATATTTCATTTGAGTTATAGATGCTATAATGCTAGGATATAAAGAAATTATGTGTTCATTTTTAAATGTCAGATAGATAAATCGCACATGGAGAAAAGCACAGAGGTTAAAGTGAATTTTATGTCTAAAAAAACTTACGAAAATGTCTATGGTTTAAAAAATAAAGTTATTTAAAGATATATTTTAGTCTTTTTTATTGGGTAAATTATCAATAGGTCCTAACAGTTAGACTTAATTCTCATCAAATCCTATTGAAAATAAGTATTGGTAAAATTGTTGCTAAAATAATTTTTTGTGATAATTTTTTACATACGTCTCTAAAAATTGACAATTAGTGATTTTTTTTGTCATGATTTTTATAAATTGTCGCTAAAACTTAAAATTAGTGACGTTTTTTATAACAAATTTTTTTCATAAAACCTATTAGACAATAAGCCTATTTATTAGGACCTATATGTAAGTACCCCTTTATTTAATCTGTTAACGGGGGCTAATAGTGTATTTCAGTTCATAAATCACATAATGTTTTGTGCTTGTTTCTATATGATAGGGGATTCTGCACACATGAGCCAAACTACAATGAAATAAATTGAAATTTGCCCAATTTGTAAGGCCTGGTTATGAATTTGATTACGAGGCTACGTGATGATTGATAATGAACGAAGGTGACATTGGTTATGTGATATATATTTATATATATATATATATTGTTGGTTTTGGTTACAAACCACATTGATCTTGGTTATTAGACCTTGTGGTGTTTAAATATGAATCAAAATGACTCTAAAAGATGTGACTCGAACTTCCTCAAGCCAATTGTTGAGCCGTTCGTCACCACTCTACAATACATCATGTGTTTCATATATCATCTTTGGAATGGGAAGTTATTAAGATAATAAAATGACATCCCAAATGCTTCCAATACTCTAATTTGCAATGGGAAGTTATTAAGGTAAACAGAGGTTGTTTTGTCAACTCAACACATTACATGTTTTTTTACAAAAATAGAAATGCTCTCTCATACCTCATAGCGAACAAGCCAGGTGGATTGGCACTGTTGTAATTGGCTAACAACTAGCTCACAAAGTTGCTGTGGCATAATGCTGCACCAGCAAAAGCTCAATTTTTTGGGTGGTTAGCATGGAGAGGAAGTGTAAAGACAACAGATTTCTTTAAAAAGATTGGTGGGATCAGAAACAGAGAAGAGTTGGCATGCCCTTTCTGTAAATCGGAAGCCGAAACAATCAACCATATGCTGCTATTGTGCCCAGGGGTGTGGAGAGTTTGGTCTGACTTGTTGAATTGGTGGGGATTAGTTGGGCAACACCGGCAAATGTGGAGGGGCTGTTGCATTGGTGGTTGAAGTTCAAGAAAAAGGAGATGATGTTTTGGAGGACCCATTGCCCTGTTATGGTCTGTTTGGAAAGCAAGAAATGTTTGTGTGTTTAATGGGGGTCAACCAAATTATGCTGAGATTGGGGAACTTGTCAAGGTGAGGGTGGCTCTGTGGGCAAGATCTAATTTGAAAGGAATCCATTACACAGTCAATGAAATTATCTCAAGTATTAGGGAGGTTAGATTTTGTTCGTAATGTTGTAATCGTGACTTGGCACTAGATCAGGTTAGTGCAGCTGGGGGTGTTGTCTTGATTGCTGGTTTTTTTTTTTTTTTTGTGTGTGTTGGCTTGTTGGCTTCTCACCAACTTTGGTGTGGTGATGATTTGATGAGTTTTTTTTGGTGCTAAAATAATTGAATTTGATTTGTCTTGCTGTGATGCTTTGACCGCTCATCCTTGCTTTTATTGATGTATCCTGTACTTTTATGGTTTCTTTTATCAATAAAAGGTTTTTTTGATTGATCCAAAAAAACAAAAACAAAAACATAAACATAACATAAACAAAAAAACAAACAAACAAACAGATAGGAGGGTGGTGGAAAGTATGAGTTTTTACTAGGTCCAACTATTACAAAATTAGTGTTTTAAGTTGATAGAGTGACTATGGCCATTTCATTATCTAATTTATTAACCTACTAACATTTTTTCATGTGTCCAAAAAATATATATATACCATTATATATGAAAATTAAAATAAAATTGACAAATATGTATATTTTGTGGTAAGTACAATTAATTTTAGTGATAGATAAAGACTTTTTTGCTATAATTTATTGTAAGCTGAAAGCTTATAAAAAAAAAAATAAAGCCAAAATCATCCATTTTCTAACTTTTAAATAATGAACAGAAGTTGCACTAAATAGTGTAACATAATCTTTAAAAACCAAGAAGCTACTATAAACAGTTCATATAAGTTCCTAGACACCCTAATCCTTGCTTGATCATTAATTTCTAATCTTTTCTTCGCAGGAGTAAGAATTTTCTTATTCATTGCAAAATGACGTGAGTCGGTGAGAATCAAATCATGATTATACTCAAGGTTAACTGTGGTTAGTTTATATTCCTCATCCTTTTGTACATTACCTCGTACCCTTGCTTTGCAACCAATTTTTGTGGACAAAGATAGCTTCAGAGGGTTGACTTCTGATTTCTTTTTTCTCTCCCCCGCTTGAGAACGTTCAATTGCAAAACTTTTTAATTGCCCATCATCTGCAAAATGTTGTGCTCTATGAGCTATAGAAAATCCAACATGCTTAGCATATTTGCCATAACATGTGTACACTTCTTCCCTTGAGCTAAAACACATACCTTTCTTAGATTCTTCAACTTCTTCACCCTCATTTACTGAAGGAATGTCACCAACATTTGAATCAATCTCCATTCTTCCACTTTGCATAATGAAATAACAATTGAATGATTTCAGAATGATTATATAACACAATGCCCAAACACATCAAAAATCTATTCAAAAGCATCAAAATGCCCAAATCATCATATATACAAGTTTACTTATATACTGTAAAAATAACATGGATGTATATAAAATGCACACAGAACACATTTATAAAAATGCATATCTTTATGTAAGTCTGATCAGTTAAAATTGTCTGTAATGCACATCTCTTACTTAAAATTGTCTGTACATAATGCCTTACATTACTAATCAATCCCTAACTGATATGGAACTGATTTTTTAGGGAAAGCTTATAGGAAGTTAATGAAACTAAATTTTTACCTCAGAAACTACTATAGGAAGTTATTTTTGTATAACTACTATTACTGATTTCTTACTTAGAGAGCTGGGGGAAAAGGTTTACCTCATAAACTGCCGATCCAGAGTACGTGCGAGACAGAGACAGAGACAAAGACGGAGAGCGAGACACAGAGACGCAGCCGAAGATTGAGGACAGCGACAGACATAGATGCAACTGAAGATTACATCTACCTCAGTGAGAGACAGAAGACATCCAGAGTTCCTGGAGAGCTATGGCCGTCGTCGACGGAGGAGAGCTACGGTGGAGGAGAAGGATGGCAGAGAGCTATGGCGGCAAGTTATGGCGGCGATAGGTGAGAACAAAAGAGGGAAAATGGAAAAATAGAATTTTGGGTTTGAACTCCTGCTATATCCATCTTTTGTTTTTGTTTTTTTTTTTTTTTTTCCTCACAGCTGCGTGCGTGTATACACCTTTCTTCCACATCAACTGCCAGCTCGTTGGGGGTCTTGGGGGTCATGTTTCATTGGGGTTTGTAGCGAAACTGCTTGTAAAATATCTAGCATTTTTGAATTTATATTGTTTGGTGAATAGAGTTAGTTTCATATGTTAGTAATGGGCGCCCATGTGGCATGACCATTTGAATTTGAATTAGAATCTTATCCAAATAGGTTTTGAAATTGAATTCAAACCTATTTAGGATAACCACTCTGAATATAGATATTATCTCCATTAACTAATATGGATAGATAATAATAAAATATATATCTGGTATATGGGTTATGGGTGATAATGAGAGAAACAACGTATGATCTGTTTTTTACCCATATACTGACTCTCTCCCAAAAACAACGATTAAGTCATTTGCACTGTGGTTTGTGTGGGTGATATTCACCATTGTAATATCACCCCACTACTAGGATTGATTGATTAGATTTTGGAAGCACGTGATTTACCCACAAGGTTCTATCATCTAAAGGTATAATCTAAATATTTTTCCGCTGCATTCTTTATACTTTGATTTACACATTGATAAATTAAATTATTAAAGAAACAATCTTGGCTTCTTGAAAAAAGAAATCTCATTTTTTATATCCAATTTTAAATGACCGAAATTTTTTCTTTTCTAGATCTAAGTTATTGAATATGACACTCGCAATTTTTTTATTATTATTTATTTTTCTTTCTTTTTGACCCAAAAAAAATTCATTTTTATCGTTGTCAATGAATCTGAGTTGTTTCACATTAACATGGAAAAGTGAAAGCCTTATCGCACCAATAGTCGACTGGCATTTTTGGGCTGGGAGGAGGATCCCACATTTGGGCCTCAACCGATATGGCCGGTTACAAATTGCAATTAATATAAATGGAAACATAAGTGTCATATAATGTGTTTCAAATTTTAGATCGAAACAATATATATGGTAGATTTGAAATTAGTACGAAGTGAATTTTACTTAAAATAATTATGATATATAGTTGTACTTTTTTTAAATAATTTTTTTAAGGTCTTGTTTAGTAATATTATATTTTAATCTAAAAATCAAAAAATTATTAAAAAAATCAAAAATCTAATAAATTATATAAAAAAAATCAAAAATTTTATTTTCTCTTTATTTTTCGCACACTTTTCGTAAAAAATTAAAGGCTAAATTATACAAATAGTCCCTATAGTTTACACGATGTGTTAATTTGGTCCTTGTTATTTCTCCGCGAATCAAATCAGATATATCTCTCAAAGATAATCAAGTGCTAAACTCACTGCTCAAAGCATAAATTGCGTACCTAGACCCTATGGGGTGTCTCTCTTTTATAACCAATACAATCCTAGTTTTAATAAGAGCCTGGCCCTAATAGACTAGGATTGCTAATCTAGGACTCTAGTGGGATTAGGATAAACTCTCTAGATCTATCTTTACCCAAAACTGAAGTCTTCTCCCAATCTAAGACTCTTGTCCATATCCAGGTTGAGTTCCCTTTTCATTCTAGGACTCTTGTCCCTTATCCGCTTATCTCGGGATTCCGATATCTTTGGAAGGTAACCTCGGCCTAGCCGAGATGACCTCGGCACAACAACCAAGACACGTGGCACCTCGGCTGACACGTCGGCGTCACCTTGCCACGTGTTGTACTCAGAAAATATATCCTCACAGTTTACTGATTTTGTGAGATATTTACTTATATTTGTGAGAACTGTAAGTAAGTTGTATATGATAACACTTGTACACTTAAGTATGTTTGTAAAAATTCATACGATTTTATAAAATAACTTATATATGTTTGTAAAAATTTATATAAATTATATATGATATGTACTTATACACTTAAAAATTATCATTTATTTTATATATGTGGTGAGTATATTTTATTTTAGTGATTATGTTAACTTGAAATAAACTATTTTAACAACCACGCCCCACATATATCGATGATTAACATTAAGGAAATGATTGGTGACCCTTAAAAAAGTTACCTCTAATATTCCTAATCTCCAATTTTGGAAACTGTTTTTTTTTTCACCTAAAATGGAATTTCGGGGCATTCGAGCCCGAAATTTAGGGCCCTCAATCACTTCCGTAACATTAATGGGGTAGTGACGTAATATTTCGTAACATTAATGGGGGTAGTGACGTAATTGAAGTGACTCCCATCGGATATGTCCAGTTCACCATCTTCCCATTGTGTTCAGTTCATTTTTAGGTAATTTTTATATTTAGTAATATTATATATTTAGACGTGGTTTGAAAATATATTCATTTTAGTAATTTTTTAATTAGGATAAATTATATAAGTAGTCCTTTATAATTTACATAATGTGTTAATTTGATTTTTATTATTTTAATTTATTCGATTTTATTTCTTAATTTAACAATTGTGTGACTTAGTTCAATAAATAACAATTGTTAAGTTTGTGGACGGAAAGTTTATTACAATGTGTCAATTTGGTCTTTGTAGTTTATAGAATGTGTTAATTTGGTCCCTATTGTTTTAATTTGCTCAATTTTGACAAAGACTAAATTGACATATTGTGTAAACTACATGGACCAAATTGACACATAGTTTGATTTTCCGTCTTACCAAACTTAGTAACTGTTATTTATTGGATTGAAATGACACAATCCGTTTTAATTAAGGGGCAAAAATCCAGCAAAAATG